CAGCAGCAGCAGCAGCAGCAGCAGCAGCGGCAGCAGCAGCAGCAGCAGCGGGGGGACAGACATCAGCAGCAGCAGCAGCAGCAGCAGCAGCAGCAGCAGCAGCAGCAACAGTGCTGCTAGTCTTGTTGATGCCATCTGCCGCTGCATCGATAACCTATACGGCACCCAGGTCTTCGGTAAACCCTAAACCCTAAACCCTAAACCCCAAACCCTAAACCCCAAACCCTAAACCCTAAACCCTAAACCCTCGTGAAACCCTCTGTAAACCCTCAACAGCTGAAGCAACAAATTGCCGAGCGTATAGACCCTCATATATCGTTTTGTATTGTTGCTGCTGCTGCTGCTGCTGCATCTGCTGCTGCTGCTGCTGCTGCTGCTGTGTTTGCTGCTGTTTCTCCCTCTTCTGCTGCTGTTTCTACTGTTTCTACTGCTCCCGCTCCTGCTGCTGCTGCTGCTGCTGCTGCTGCTGCTGCTGCTGCTGCTGCTGCAGTGATAGGGCTTGCATGCAGTGCTGCAGCAGTTCCTCTGCCGCTGCGGCGCAGCGGCCGCCTCGATGCTGAGCTGCTGCTGTCTCCCCCCAGCAGAGAAGAGAGAAAGGATATTCTTCAGGTCCTAAACCCTAAACCCTAAACCCTAAACCCTAAACCCTAGACCCTTGTGGTGCAGCAGGAAACAGTACAGGGAAACATAAACCCTCGTGGCTGTTATACAAACCCTAAACCCTCAAACACTCTAAACCCTTAAACACTATATTTTATATCTGTGTCTTTTCAGTAGGGTTTAGGGTTTAGGGTTTAGGGTTTAGGGTTTAGGGTTTGTGTTATTCAGGCTGTAGCGAGCACGCTGCCTTTTAGGGTTTCTATAGATTACGATGCAGCAGCAGATGCTGCAGCAGGAGCTGTAGCAGCAGACTTGCATGCGCTGCTGCATGCGGCCTCCATTGCAGCAATCCACCGCACCCAGCAGCAGCAGCAGCAGCAGCAGCAGCAGCAGCAGCAGCAGCAGCAGCAGCAGGAGCTTAGCGGCATCCCGACGTTTGCAGCATCAGCGCTATCAGCAGCAGCAGCAGCAGCAGCAGCAGCAGCAGCTGGCCACAGCAGCAGCAGCAGCAGCAGCAGCAGCAGCAGCAGCAGCAGCATAGAAGTAATGCATGCAGACCTGCTGCATGCATTGTCAGAGTTTCGTTTTAGTATACAAAAGGAGACAGCAGCAACAAATATAAATAAAATAAAAACACAATGGCGAGATATAGGGGGACTCAAAACAGCAAAAAAACAAATAGAAGATAAAATTATTTTTCCTGTTCTCTTTCCTCAACTCTATAAACAAATTGGTCAGCTACGAGGGTTTAGGGTTTAGGGTTTAGGGTTTAGGGTTTAGGGGTTGGGGGTTGGGGGTTTTGGTTCAAGGGGGAAAGATGAGGGTTTAGGGTTTAGGGTTTAGGGTTTAGAATTTATCGTGAGGGGTTAGGGTTTAGGGTTTTTACTGGTTACTACTTTATTGTTGAAAGCTTATTCTCTAGGGTTTAGGGTTTAGGGTTTAGGGTTTAGGGTTTAGGGTTTAGGGTTTGTGTGTGTGGCTGCTGATGTTTGGCCCCCTGTTTTA